GTTATGCAAAAGATGGCTTTGATGGAGCAAGAGATCCTCGACCTTCGTATGGCAAATGAGCTACTCAGTAAGCGCCGGAGGGCTAAAAAAACACGTCTTAGGCAAGGAGGATCACTTTCCCAACAGGAAGCCGAGCAAATCCAGGAGGAGAGGGGTCTTGCGGCCGAGGGAGATGGCACAACGCGTGGAGAGAGTGGTCGTACGGAGGGAGCAGGGCAGCGCGTTCGACGCTGTAAGAACTGCGGCAAGACTGGCCATAATGTACGAACTTGTCAAGTAGTCTGGGAGACCTCTGAAGATGAGTATTTTGTATAGTTTGGATTAATTGAGGGTGATTGTTTGTGTAATAGTCGGTATGAAAAGCGTGTGGTGGGGGGAAACTGCGCGCTTCGTTATGCAAGTACGTTAAGCTATTGAATATAGTTATATAACTATATTCTAACAAAGACTCTAGACTTTTAAGATTTAAAGCCAACCTCCTTAAGCCTCTAGCTCTAAGCGATACGGGATAAGCAATCCTCTTTTATAAACCCTAAACAAGCTATCAAATAATAAGCAAGCAAACCCAAAAGAAACTCCTTATGGTGTAGTTGGCTATCACGTTCGGCTGTAATTGCTTCAAACAGATTGATAACAAACCGAAAGGTCACCGGCTCGATTCCAGTCGAGGAGATTTCATAACATCCCTAGATGTATATCTTTTTCATAGCTGGTTACCTTTTGTATTTTTGGTTTCTTGCCTTGTCGTCTCTTTACTTCTTCAACCACTCTTTTAAAACCCCTTTTGTCTACGTAATTATCTCTTCTTCTCTTTCCTCTTACATGGGAGCTACTGAAGAAAGCATTGATGGTGATATATACTAGCATGTTCATGTTTCATGTTCACGTACTGACTTGTAAGGGAACACATAAATGACCGGGGAGGCGGAGAGACAGCTAGGCGACAAGCTACTAATTAGGTGCCTAATATTCAAGCAACATGTTATGGACAGAAATATAATTTTGGGCTACGATACTGGCTCCGGCCTAGACAGTGTGTACATGCCACAACTTGAAGTGTACATATACAAGGCAGCAGCTGATGTTTGTAGTTGTTACTTACCGGTAGGCAGTCGAACAATGCGGGTTGCGCAAATCACCCCCCTTTTCCATCTGTGAGTAATCGTACACAGCTAGCTGCCTTGAGCAAATTCTCTTTATTTTGTTTGTTTGGGTGGGAGCACGTTCTCGAGCGTCTCTTTGTGTGTTTGTGTGAAGGCTGACGCACATTACTTTACTTAATGATTGTATGTATTTTGCCCCTTTGCGCCTTTTGGTTAAGGTGCTGACCCGGCACGGTGTGACTCACTGAACCTTGAACTTTCTCTACCTAGTTGGCTACGTGGCTGCTATGATTCATCATGGGTTAAGTAATTCGTACACTACGAGTACAGTAGAGAGTGCCCAAGTCTTGTCACATGCTTCTCGTGGGTAGGAGGACACAACCAAGAAAAGTGCGATAGCTAGCGGGTAAACAAATTTGGACAAAGACAGTATCCAGACAGTCATCAAGAACTCGATTCTCATCATACCTAGGTAACCAAGCCAGGAGCAAATCCTCACATAGGTATAGTGTGAATAAGTTCCTCAACATCCCCTCGGCATTACACGGGAATCCATTTCACAAGCATAGCCAACAGGGCATCGTATTGCAATGACCAGGAGTATCAGGACACACCATAACAGTGCCGGGCAAGGTCAAGCCCTTCATCGGGAGTCCAGCTTGACCAAAATGTCGATAAAATATCACATATTAATACTATAGTACAAATCCTTAACAGGACCCATTGACCATACACAACTTCACCCATGAGACCACGTAAAGATGACAAGAGAGAAAGTGGTTTGAAGAGGAAAGGAAGTATACAATAATTATCCACATACAATGAAGTAAGAAGGTGCAAGGTAAGTATGGTGGCGCTCGTCAACCACGATATATATGGACCAGAGCAGACCTGTCTTGCCTAGTCCTCGAAGAATATCAGAACGGGGAAAGGGCTTCTTCCCACCCCTCATGGAAAACCGCCTCATCACCCCCAGACCAAATCTTGATCTGCTGGTGTTAATCAGATGACACCTTAACCCCAATCCCCAATCTGTTCACGCCAGCAACCAGAAATTTCAAGAATCGCGCTTTTGTTTCCGCTCATATCCTCTCTTCCCAGATACTAGAATGAGTCAACCACCCCCAACCAAAACCAGCCTTTGCCCACAATGAACGCCGTTCCATGATATATGTCGTCTAAACGTTCCAGTGCCAAAAAAGAAAGCTATAGAATAGGCGCTTGAAATATGTAATACAACGCTAAATGACGTCCCTTATCATGTCATATGTTATTCCTCAGAGGTCAAGGACCACACCCACCCAAGCTCTTCTTCGTGGCGTATAGATCATCCCGTGGTTGGTCATTTACCCAGTTCACTCCCCACAGGTGAGCTGGAGAGGTTTCACCATTTCAGTTCCATCTTGGCGATGGGTTGCCTGTTGAACATGTCAACATCTCTCGGTTGTTTACCCACTGTTTAGGCTGCTACCCCGGCAGAATTCACAATGGTAGAGAAGCGCTCGGCCACCTGGTCCATGCATTAGTGTGGTTCTCGCGGTATTGTGCAAATATCTGACTTACCTCTGGTGCCGCCTTGATGAACGGCAGCTCGAAAAAGACGCACTTGTCGTTCTTGATCAGCTCGATAACTGTGATCACCAAGCCCCACGGCTGGGGCCAGAACCCAACCACGCGTTCCAGCAGGATGCGGACGATCTGCTGGCGAACCTCGGTCTCTTCAGGGTCCGAGAGATCATGGGTGAAGAGGTCAATGATGACTTGGCTGAAGTAGAGCGTGTGAGCATTTGCGAACCGCAGTTCGTTGATCATGCTGCTGAGAAGATGGTATCTGGCCTCCGGGCCCAGCTCTGTGGCGAGGAGGTGCAGTGTTTTGGTATCCGACGAGCCCGGAATGAAGCCTGGGGAATCGTTCTTGGACCCAGGTCGGTTGATGGCAAAGTTGCCAATAAAGGCCACAACGGCGTCGATGATTCTTCGGTTTACTGAGACGGGAACATAGCCAAAGCTGGTGGCGTCGCCGTCGGGCCGGTTGATGGCATAGCTGATCTGAGCGATGGCGTCCTCTGAAGGCCCGTCGCGGAGAATGTGCTCGAGAATTTCCACCAATCCGACTTGACGGAGGTCCTCGACAAAGTCTTGAGTGCGTGGCGGGGCCTCCTTCATGTCAGGGACCCTGTCGATCTTGAGGCCCGATTGGAATGGGTCAGGGACCTTGACGAGAGAGACCGGGGTCGCGGCGAGAATCATGTTGATAAGCTGCGTTGCATGGGGCGGGAGGCTCTCGCACAGCTGGACATGGTTGGCGACAAGATACTCGGGGTAGTCGTGGTGGAGAACGATGAGGAGCTTGAGCGCTGCTTGGTATAGCTCCTTTCCGGCCGTCGAGATGTCGAAAGGCTTGATGAGATCGCCGAGGTAGGAAAGAAGGAGACCGAGGAGGCTGGTGAATGGCGCCCAGCCAGCCTGGTCGGGCATGCTTAGCATGCATGGCATGAATGCTCGGTGGCTAATCAGAGCTGCCCAAGAAAACGAGAAGCCGGGGTAGATGGCTGGCCGTAGGTCATGGAGACGTGCTGCGAATCTCAGCAGAAGCTGCGTGCGATCGACCTCTTTTTCCAGCACACCAATCTCTCTAAGAAGCATGGAGAAGAAGCGGTAGAAGACACGCTGGTTGAAGCCCTCTTGACGTTTTGTGTGATGGTTGTTCAACACCATCATGCCGAGTGCGAGAACCGAGTCCAAGAGAGCAATGCAGCCTGTATTGGCGTTGCCCTCCTCAACGTGCGATGTGGCGAAAATCATGATCAGCCTCACAAGCGCCTCAATTGGCTTGTATGCCTCGGTCAAGCCCTCGCCCGCATGCATCGATAGGTCGAATGCGTCGACCGATTTGTCAATGGCTCTCCGAGCGAAGAGGAAGAGGTCGTCCTCGGAAGAAATGACGCCGCAAGAGTGCATCTGCTGGATGAAGATCTTGCCTGCCTTTTCCGAGGCTAACGGATTGCCGTCAATGTGAACCCACTCCTCGAAGACGTAATCCATTTGCTCGTGCTGCCTGAGCGCCGCCTCCTCTGGCGAGAGGTTGGTCAGATCAGGCGGAGATCCCAGCACCTTGGCCTTGAAGTGCTGGCCAGACTGCACATTCGGCTCCTGTGTGATCCACGTCCAAGCCGCCTCCAGGCTCTGCACAAAATCTGCGTAGAGCGTGAGGGGACTGTCATTGAGCAAGGTGGCTTCCAAAAGCTGGTCGAGGAATTCAATAGATCCTTCCTTGTGCTCCTGCAAGACCTTGGCCAGTGCTGCGTCAATGCTGCCCCAGTCGAGCAGGTCTGTGGGGAGGAGAGCCTTGATCAGATTCAAGTGAAGATACTGGTCACCAGGTTGCTGGTGGAACAGATTCCGGATTTGTTGGCTAGAAACAGGGCCTGCGATCCTGCGGAGAACATCCAAGACGTGCACCAGGCTCTGCAAGACAAGCGACTTGCTGTCTTTTTGCCTAAAGAGCATTTGCGAAATCAAGTTGGCTGTATATGACGCAAACTCGTCAGACGTCTGCTGCGTCTTGATGATGAGCCCGCCCAGCGCGTCGATGATGTCCAGGACCGCATGGGCGCGAGGGAGGTCTCGGAAATCATCCTCCTGCGCAGTGGCAGCGGCAGTCACCAGTTTCTCAAGGAAGTTGTTGACTCGCTCAGCAATCTGATTGAGCCCGACCTGTCGCCCGTTGGGAATCCCATTGAGGCCCTGAGCATAATGGGGAAGTTGGACCCCGATATGAGGCATTGCAGGCGTCTCGGCAGGCGTCGGAAGACCGGGTACTGTGCTGTACTGATCACCCAGGACTTCATTGGCCAAAGATCTGGCATCCGAAGCCGAGGGAACGTGGGACGGAGTGGAGGTGGTGGCGATGGCTCTTGGCTGGCGCGCGAAGTCGTCGTAGATGGCCATTTGCTCGGCGTTGAGCCCTGCAGGCCCAGGGGTCATCTTGAAAGGATGAGGAATCGTCATGGCCCAGCGGCTGAGGCTAGGATCAATATATGGCTCCGAGGGCCTCTGAGCACGATGAAGACGTCTGGCTTCCAGCTCGGGCTGGATCATGTCCTCGATCTCGGGAACAGCACGCTCCTCGGCTGATTTTTCAATGACTCCGGAAGCCAAGTCCAGGTTGGAGTTGACACATGCAATGATGATGCCTTCAGGCAAACCATGTGGAAGGTCAGGGGAATGCGAAGTAAACTGACGCAGATAATTGGCAAAGTTGGCCCGGAGCGGCTCCCTGGAAGTAACAAGCGCCAGGCTCCCAGCCGTAGACTTGACCATGTTGATGGCAGCATTTCGAACCCGATTCTCGTCAGGTTCAGTCGCGAAATCCTTGTGAATCATCTCCTTGGTTGAGATGGCAGCGATGGTAACAGATCTATCGACAACCGGCTGGATGATTTCCCGAAGCGCTTGGGTCAGCGCCTGACGCACGATGTCATGGAGCTTAGCCGAGCTAATCACTTCGGTCGGGGGGATCGAGAGATTGGGGCCGAGGTCGGGAATCGGTGGCAGAGCAGCAGGAGCC